TGATGCTGCTTGGCCTGCTGTGTTCATCCAGCCCTGCACCTTGTTGTCTCGGATTCTCCAGCATCTGCAGTTCCTACTATCTCTGATTCGTTTTGTTGAAAGATGCTGCTTTTAGAATGTGTTCTAACAAAAGCTATAGTTACTAATCTTAATAACCCACATTTTGACTTGGGGTTTCAAAAACTCATGGAATGTAAACATTGGAAAACAACTTGTCCATCCTTAATTGGCCTTGAAGGGTGTGGTCAGCTTGTTACCTTGAACTGTTGTGGCCCACTTCATGTAGAAATGAGGGATTTCCAGGGTTTTGATCCAGTGACACTTGAGTATGGTGACATTTCTAAGTCAGGCGTGTAGCTTTGTGGGGAGCTTGCAGATGGTGTTAAGGTACAAACATTGGGAGGGCTTGTTGTGGGAATGACAAGGAATCTGTAAGGAGCTATAGAAAGGTTGAGTGGGCAAAAAATTGGCAGATGGAGCTTAATGTAGGAAATTGTGAGGTCATGCACTGAACAGGAAGAATCAAAAGGCAGACTATTAAATAGAGCAAAATGCCAAATAAAAGTGCAACAGAGGGATCTAGGTGTTGGGTTGCATGCAGGTGCAGCAAATGTTTTGCGTTGCAAGCACATGGAGTTTTGGCCTTGTGAGGGGTTGGTGTTTTAAAAAATAGGCAAGTGGTGTTACAACTGTTCAAAGTTGAGTCTGCACCTAGAATACTGTACAATATTGTCCCTATCCCTGGCAATGAAGGCTGATTCCTGGGATGAAAGGGTTACCTTGCCCTCCTCTGGCAGAGTAATGTCTGTCTGGAATTCTGAATCCTAGAGATTTGTGGAGGCTAGATCACTTCCTTGAGGAGAAGGTAGGTAGATGATTTGAAACATCAGGAGTTGAGGTGTATGAGCAGCCTGGCATGAAAGTGGAGTTGAGAACCAGAGCAAATCAGCAATGTTGAAAGAGCAGGCTTGAGGGGTTGAATGACCTACTCTCTTCAATTACGCTCTGTTATACCTGCTTATTCTTCTAGCTGAGAAGTTGTGGATTTGGAAACTGATTGTTGTAGCCCTTGAGTAGTACTTTGAAACCATTTTTACTGCATTTTGTATATACTGTTTATTGCTTCAGGAAAATGTTGGTTCTTCCTCCACATCTCCAAATTCCTGGTATCAGTGCTCAACCCTGGTTCCTTTTTGTCTTCCTTCTATCAAGGTTCAGATTTACACCTGATTCATCAGTTTGTGGTTTTAAGTCTAGCATTGTTGCAATTCTCCTCTCTGAAGAAACCAACAACACATTCCCCAGTGTTCTGTAGTTATTTAATACTTTGCTTCCTTTTACCGAGACCTGTGATTTCTGTTGTCTCTGAGCCAGCATGACTGAATTCCCCTCCATGACCATGTTTTAAACTCTTCACTCCCTGATGCTGCTTTCCTTAACACTTTTTTCTGGCATGTGGAATTCTCAGTGGGAGCTGCCTCTTTAAATTTATTCAAAAGGGTGTTCCCTTTTTGATAGACAATGGAGTTGCAGGTTATGGAGTGCAGACAAGAAAGTAGCACTGAAATGGCAACTAGAACATGATCAAACTGTCTTGTTTGTGCACCTAAGTCTTGTGCTTACCCTCATCCGGTGCTGGTACTTGTTCTAAGCAAAATTGTACTGGGGGACAAAAAACTCCCACACCCTCTCAACTTCTGTAATCTAGCTCCTCATTTTCCTCCTATTTTACAGTTGTGCTGATTGGCGATTCAGGTGTTGGAAAAAGTAACCTCCTATCACGCTTCACACGCAATGAGTTCAACCTGGAAAGTAAGAGCACAATTGGAGTGGAATTTGCAACAAGAAGTATCCAGGTAGATGGGAAAACAATTAAGGCCCAAATCTGGGATACAGCTGGGCAGGAGCGATACAGAGCCATCACCTCTGCGTGAGTTAAGTTTCTTGGAATAAAACTGTCTTTTGAGCACTTTTTGCTTAGTCCAGTGCCACACTTGTCTGTGGGGGACACTGGGGTAATGGTGAGATCTTGAACCAGGGCTATGTATTATCGAATCATATAGTACCATATGTTGGAGTAGTGCAATGGGGCTGCATCATGAGGGCACAGCAGCTTATCTTTGCTTGCATTTTGCTCACTTGAGCTGATGTGCCAGTTTGACACCGCTTCAGTTTAATGTCTGAAACTCCACCACATAAGGCCAGCCTGGGAGAGAACCTGTGCCAAAAAAAACTGCTTATGCTCATTTTAAGCCCTGTTATGATGCAGGTGCAAATGTATATCATTCCAATTAAAAGTTACCACTTCTTAGTTAAAAGTCTATCTAAGCAATAGATATGTACGTGAGAATGTTGTGCTTTGTTTTGTGGTTAGATATTATCGAGGAGCAGTTGGCGCTCTGTTGGTATATGATATTGCCAAACACCTTACCTATGAGAACGTGGAAAGGTGGTTAAAGGAGTTGAGAGATCACGCCGACAATAATATCGTCATCATGCTTGTAGGGAACAAGAGTGATCTCCGTCACCTCCGAGCTGTGCCGACAGATGAGGCAAAAGCTTTTGCAGGTATGTGTTCAGGAGCTACTCCTGTTTATGCCTTTTTAAAATTATGGCCAGAATGAATGATAGATATAAGTAATGGATGATCCTTTAACTCATTACAATACTTAATTAGAAAACTGAATATGTACAGAATTAAGAAACTTGAGCTGAAAGAGCATGCAAAGCACTCTGTCAGAATTGCTACCCTATATTGAGTCTCTTATTTTTAAGGCTTCAAGTAACTTCCATTTCAATCTCCTAAATGCCAGACTAGTGATAACCTGCTTTGTTTTTAAGCAGTCTTTGAATCCTTGACTTAAAGGTTGTGCAGTGCACAATGTCCACTGCTCCTGAGCCTTCTAGGGCTGAAAGGCGATTGGCCAATTGGAGACATCTGTAGTCGTGCACACCAGAAAATTACATCCAAAGTGGTTAATAGGATAAGGCTGGCTAGAAGGTGGGGAAAATTTGAATCTGGTCTGAGAATTGGTTGGTGTATAGAATACAATTATTAATGCTATCCTTACTTGTATACAGTAGAGCTGGCTGGTTGATTGGAGCATTGGAGATTTGTTACAATTTAGCAGTGTCACCAGTAGCAGATAGTTGCAATTATAACAGCAGCTTACATAGACTGCCCTTCTTTACAGTAGGAAAAGATGACTGGAAACTGCATATCACTAAATTTTTTTAGTAGGAAATTGATCATTCAACCTCCTGTCTGTTTATTTTCTACCCCTCTGAATGTAACTTCCTTAACTCAATGGCATATACATTCATCTCAGTCAGAAGGTAGGCTGGGGCATGGATGGATGGGACGGTTATCCCCATCAGTTTTATCCATGTGTCTCCAAGTGATCTGACCCAGTGTTGGATGATGCAAAAGGGACTTTTGGTGCAGCTGTTGTGTCCATCTGTCTGAGCGAGGAGACCTGGGTCCAGATGCTGCCTCTAGAGATGTGTAATAATTTTCTAAACAACCTGTTCAGATGTTTGTAATTCTGGGAAACAAAAACTCCTTCTCTTGCAACTTTTTTTAAATGCTGATGGGAATGTTTTTGTTTCAGAAAAAAATGGCTTGTCCTTTATTGAAACTTCAGCTTTAGACTCTACAAATGTAGAAACTGCATTCCAGACTATCCTCACAGGTATGTCAATCTGCTTCGAACATTGGTTTTTGGAATTGAGACCTTAATGTTGAGAGAACCCTTCAAATTTCTTTGTGAAATTTTTAGTGGTGATAATACTATGCCTTTAAGATTTGTTCTCTTTTGGTGTGGAGATGGGTGTTTGAATTTTTTTGTTTCTAAAGTAAGACAAAAGAATTATGACTGGATGGGGTCAGCCTTACAGCCTAGAACACTTCAGTTTTTTGCTTTCAGTTAGTTGAGTAGGGTTTTGCTGGGGCTGAAAGCTTAAGCTCTGCTGCTAGAGGGAAGTCTTTAAGAGGCTTCCTCTTAAACAAAATTGCCCCTTTTGATCTTTGTTTCTCTGGACCAGAGAGAAACGTGAGAGAATAACTTGTTGAATTGCCTCTCCCAAAGGTGTGTTTATGGGATGCTGCCTGTATGAAAATAAGTGGTTAGAGTACGTTACTCTATTGAATACTCAAGATAAAGTTAAACAATTTTTGTTTGTTTTTAACAATGTTGTAAGGAGCTTAGTGGTGGGCTGATTGAATCATCATACCTGGAACACCAGTGCCTTACACTTTTTTCTTTTTTTTTAAAAAAAAAAAAAAGTTAGGGTCTGGGCTAGCTCTATAATATACTTTGGGTGTCCGGTCTGGTCCAGTCCATAACATAGTCTAATGTTCCTTGAAAGAATAAAGAAAAATGTGCCTCCTGGTTTGTTGATAGGCCTCCCTATAGTGAACTGCACACGTTACTGGTTGGGATCAACTGAACGTTAGACTGCTGTGTGCAGACTTCTTAATCTTCTGATTAGACTCAAAGCAATAAATCCCTAATTTGGTCAGTGCAAGATTAGGGGTAAGGGAATTCCTTGAGTTCATTTAAATCTTATTTATGATGCAGAATGAAACTCTTGCCTTCAGGGAAGTTTTCTGTCACTTCCAGTTCTGTTATAGGGAAAACAGTAGATTCAAAGGTCATATACTATCTAATGAACCCTTGGCCAATAACTAATGTAGCTTGTGTAGCCTTAATAATGATTGTTAATTCCTTGTCTAGAAAAATGAAGTCTTGTACCTTCTGTTAAGAATTGTTGGAGATTTTCAAAATTGTTTAATCTTTTACTTCTAGTTATTTCTTTCCATTTTATGGAATTGATTAATTTACTCTTGTGTGGTCCTCCGTTTTCTTTCTCTTTGGTTAAAGACATTGAGATTCTGGGAGCCCTGGATACACTGTTTCTAGCTTATGTTTCCATCAAAATATTGAGCAGAAAGATGCAAGATGAAGCCTAATTAATCAGGAATGCCATGGGAGGGCCTGCTTCTGTAACCTTCTGCCCAATAAATTCCTGATGGCAATTGTTAAGCTGCTTGAGTAGTCAAGAAGTTGTTATTAAGGGGAGGGTAGGTCCTCTTTGAAAGAAATAACATTGACTCCTAAAAATTAAGGGAATGTGTGGATGATGGTAAGTATAAGCTTTGCTTGTTGCTGTTTTCTAATTAAATCACACTAACTCAAACAATTACAATTTCCTCTAGTATGAAACTGCAAATCATATCCATTCTTTGTTACTGACATGCTTCTTGCTAGCAAGCCTTTGGTTTATGAATAGGACTTTTGTTCTTGTTTCTGGAGTTTAGTGAAATCCAGCCTGCGCTTATGTCAGTTACCCCTAGTAAACATTCCTTTGTGTAGAATTGCACATAGTTGTCACTCAGCACCATGTTCTCCAGCAACTCCGCAGGAGTGAACCTCTGCAAACTTTTCAGCAACAGACTCTTTAAATTTAGACCTCAAATAGTAAATGAAGACTTGATGATTTGTGAAAAGATTACATTAAATTTATTTTCTCCCCTCCAGAAATTTACCGTATTGTGTCTCAGAAGCAAATGTCAGACAGACGTGAAAATGACATGTCACCGAGTAACAATGTGGTCCCCATTCACATGCCTCCAACTACTGAGAATAAACCAAAGATGCAGTGCTGTCAAAACATCTGAGATGCAAGTTGCTGTCCATTCCAAGCCTTTATCTACATTGTACCTGTGTAGTGCTTATGGTTTTTCATTTTGCGACTCAATTTGATTAAATGTGGCAATTATATTAAACATGTAACTGTCTTTACTAACATGTTGGAATTTGTTTATATCAGCTATGTGCATTTTTATATAATATATACTTGCAGGTAGTGTAAAATGGTTTAAAAGCCATTTTACAAATGTTATCATGTAATAAGACGAGGGATACAACACCCACATGCCTTTTTATGGTAGGTGCTTTTGAGATGGAAATGCTTGTTTTCGAATAAGGGATGCTCATGAAGTGTGAACAACACAGATGGCATTTCTTGAGTCAACTCATCACTAATTTGCCTCTTTCTTTATTTTCCTAGTAACTTTTGTAAATTGTATTTTATGCATGTAGTATGATCTCTCCAATTTTTAGGTTATGGTTTAAAATGTTGTGTACTTGAATCTCTATTAAAATGAAATGGAAGAGAATCGGCTTGGATTACTTCAATATAAGATGATGCTTTTGACCTAGAACCATAACTGGAATCCAAATCAGAATATTGAAGTCTCCCTCCATAAACAGGTTCTACAAGAAGGTTTTTTTTTTTTTTTTTTCTTTTTTTTGAACACTGAAGAAGGGGAAGCACTCACCAGAGACTTTATTTTGCAGTATCAGCTGATTGGGGATGCTTAACAGGGCCAGCTGCCTGGTAAATGAAAAGCAGCAGGTGATCCACAGGGCTAAGCACTGAATCATTCAACTGTGACCCTACCACATTCAGTTGTTTTTTTAATTGGTGGACTGGACATTCTCCAAGAGGCTATATGAACATAGTACTTCCCCTGAATGGATGACACCACCATTAGCACAGTCAAAGAAAGTAAAAAGGCAAAAATTGTGAAAGTAATGTTTCACTCTTTACACAATATGACAGAAAACATACTATAAATCAGTTCTAAAAGGTCTTAGAGGCCAGTAGCTCCTGTCCTATGGAGCTACCACTGGAAAATGTTTGTTCTATGTATACAGTTTGGTTGTAGTGAAATATTATAAAGCAGCTGGTATAATGCTATAGTTCTGGTCCCCAGCTCAGTGTTAAAAACAATCAAATTTAAATTTGAAGTGTGAAAAGAATCCATAATGGACACAAATCTTAAGCTGAAGTTTGCTCAATTTTAAAACTTGTTAATCCTGTTGAGCATCAAAATCACTGAACAAAAATTTAAGCTTACAATGTTTGGTTTAGGTTACAGTTCCCCATTTTTTTGGTCAAATTTATGACCCCCTCATATTGAACCATGTGCTCATTCCTGAAGTGGAGTGGTACTTGTGGAAAATCTAGCTGTTCTGTTTTTAAAATTGGTATCATGCTTCCAGCCTCCATTGTTATCATCAGGAAGTTGTACTTTTTCACATGATCCTCCACTTTCCTGCTGCCTTAACCATCTTTTAGTTTATTCTAGCTGAATCCTCTGGGTCAGATGACTACCCTGTGTGCAACCCAAAGATTTTAGATCAGTGTTTCTCTTGTTCTGGAATTGTAATTGCTGTTTTTATTTCATTTAGATTTCATAGAATCCCTTCACTATGGAAACAGGCCCTTCGGCCTAACAAGTCCACAGCAATCCTTGGCATCCCACCCAGACCATCCCCCTATAACCTGCCTAAGTTATACATCCCTTAACACTACAGGCAGTTTAGCATGGCCAATTCACGTAGCCTGCACATCTTTGGACTGTGGGAGGAAACCCATACAGACATGGGGAGAATGTGCAAACTCCACGCAGACAGCTGCCCGAGGGTGGAATTGAACCCAGGTCCCTGGCGCTGTGAGGCAGCAGTGCTAACCACTGAGCTGCCATTTTAATGAGGATACTTTACAGGGTAAACTTGGTCCACTGACTATTCTTGCCAGTGACCATATACAGACACAGGTTTTTGTACATGTTAAAAACTTTCTCTTTAATACCTAAAAGGTAATGAATATTAACTTGCACAAATCAACTATTCATCTGTTTCATTCCTAGATCCATCACAGGACATTCAAGAATTTGTCATCTTTACATAACATTGTGACTTTGCAGTGGTGCACAAACCAAGGTTACAAATTAATTGTATCAACTAATTTTTGCTTCTGTTTGGTTGCTCTGTCATGGACAGACAGATTCTGCCAATTACATTAATTGTTTAAAGTTACTCACTAGTCAAGTTATGACAAGATCTGTAAATCAGTAAGTGAAAACCTTACAATTGACATTTTATTTTTTCAATAGGGAGCCAACACTTTTAATAAACGAAGCTATTGAATGACATTTTATCTTCTGGCAGAATTCGTGTTAATCACCAACTTCAACTTCACCTAAAGTTATTGATTGTCTCCTTGATTCCACTTGCCAATTTTATTAAAGCTGAACAATAGTATTCATTGAATCAGAGATAGTAGGAACTATCGGTTATTCAGAACCCCCTTCCCCTCCCCCTTTTTTCTGATGAAGGGTCCAGGCCTGAAACGTCAGCCTTTCTGCTCCAATGATGCTGCTTGGCCTGTTGTTCATCCAGCCCTGCACCTTGTTGTCTCAATAGTATTCATCCTTGGTTGTTTCTTTGCCCTCTTTAATATTGCTGCTGCTTTATACCTGTATCTGATCTATGATTAGATGTAACTTTGCAGTTCATCCTCCATATTTAGTGCCTGGATTTTTAACTTTTCAGTGTGAATACCTTTTTGCCTCTAATTGATAACTTTGGCCTTAGCCTGAAAGTCAATTAGTAAAGCAAAACACATGGCATTTGCAGGTGAGTCATACATTTTATTTTGTATCACATATCCAACATTTCCATTTAATGTTGACTTGTCAATTATTGCTTAAAAAGACCAAACAAGCAGTTGACTTGTTTTAACAATGCCATATATGCGGAAATAAATGGTGTTATCATAGGATGCCCTTTAAGCTCAGCTCTATTGGGTTTTATTCACTCAAGATAACTTTTTTGTATCCAAAATATGCAAAGGATATGACAAAGACAATACACTTACTATATTTCATTTCATACCAGTAAGAATCTCCTTAATGTCTTAATAGGCTTTATTCTAACTGTAAATTCATCATTAATTGGAATGGTTTAAATGAGCTTTCCTCAGTCTAGCCAAAAATGTTGCCTTTGATTTCTTAACACTATTTACTAGTCAGTATACACAAGGCAGGGGGTTTGCATAGTTCCACTTGCTCAAGATTAATCTTTTTGGTGACCTCAAAGGGCCCAAGCCCTTTGTCTACTGAGCAATCTAGCTGCTGAAATGGCACATTGGGGCCATGCTGCATAACTACCCACATCAGATCATTTCTTGCTGTATACTGCACAAACTTATGAACAGGCCTAAGGTCCTTTGGTCTCATGCTGCTTTTGCCTGAGGTTACTCTGGAAGGGTAAGTTTGCCTAAAGATTTGAGTGATGGGTGAAACTAGCTGTTGCAGGCTCGTACTATGCAATAACTACACGTGTAGTATTCACCCCAAGAGGATGCTGCAATCAAGCTAATAAGGCATTTGCCAATCAACACAATTGAGTAATGTTATATGATGTTCATGGCTAGTGATGCCATGAGACCAGACCTTTAAGGTTGCTGGTTGTAAATATCCAACTAGCCTGTGCTTGCAGAATTCTAGATACAGTAACTAATATTTAGATGTGAATCTGTGATTGGATCAACATTTACTAAATAATCCTGTGTTCTCAATTAAACTGATGACAAATTTGAGATTGCCAGTTAGGCTTGCACTGTGGCACAGAAGCTACATAATAATTCAGGATCCTGTGTTTTAACATGTCCGTGTTCTTTAAGAACAGGCACAGATGACAGACAGTCTCTGGTTCATCCATCAGGCTAACATCTTGACCAACCTAAACAAAATTTTAAATTGAGCCAGGTACTTGACTATCATTATCTTACTGGTGTGCATTTTTCATGGCAATACCTTTTATCAATTAGAGTTCACTTGCCAACTAGTGTAAACATGTTTCCCCCTTACATTGACATACTCAACAAATTGTCAGCTTGTGCTTAGCTGGACAATTTCAACCATATCTTTTCAGCAATAGACAAGTTCTGTATTCACAAATAATTAGAATGTTTTAATTGTAAACCACACACTAAAATTCAATAACTAGGCAAGTGTTGAAATTAAATGCAAACTCTGTCTGTTTTAAATCATATTATGCAATGCTGTATCAATTTGCAGCTAGTTTCACAGATCACAAAGCCAGCTTCTAGCAAAAATAAATTGCTGACTCCAGAATGAACAAAACCACAACATTCACATGTATATGAAGAACAAAATAGGAAAGAAGGATATTTTAAAGATTTCCAAACCTTGCAACACTGCAGGTACAAACTCAATAAGACTGTGAATGACTAAGTTTTCCTCGTATGTGAATATATTCTGGATCTCCCACACCCTCTGGAGCATATTCTTTAATAGTTAGTCATCCAGATGGGGATATTCCATTTTTAGTAATCCCATCACGTGGTTTGACCTGTGATGCAATATTGTCATGATTCATTCTGAGCTAAAGAATAATCTGATTACTCATAGCAATTAGGGCTTTGAGAGCAATGCTACAAGTCCTTTCCAAAGAATTTTTACAGTATGGTAGTTCAATATGGCAGCTTTAAGTCTTCAAATATTTATTAAGAATTAATTCTGATGTATCTCCATGCTATGGAAGAAAGCTTGCATGTTATAACCATTTCCAGTTTTAGATTCCTCCATTGTTAACTATTTTCCTTGTCCTCCTCTGTTTCCCCTCGTGGAAGTGTCTAGGACCAAAGGGCATAATCTTAAGGGATTGCCCTTTTAAGACAGGTAAGGAGTAATTTCTTCTGAGGTTATGGAATTTGCAGAATTCTTAGCCTCAATGGGCTCCAGAGGGTGTGTTTTAAATATATTCAAGGCTGAGATGGAGAAATTTTTACTTATGGAACTAAGGGATCTAGAGAAAAGTTGGGAAAAGTCAGGAAAGGCGAGTTGAGGATTAGATCAGCCATGATGTTATTGAATGGTAGAGCAGACTCAATGGACTAAATGGCTTGCTTCTGCTACTACATCTTAAGGTCTTTCAATGCCTGATCGAGAAGTAACCTGCAATTACTTTATGTACAAATATAATTCAGCTTAAACAAATCCTGAAAATTCATATGTTGTATAAATTTTATAGGGATCCTACAATCTTCTATATCCTAATGAATAATTTGACATTGTCAATTCTTCATGCTTCAATGAGACCTTTAGGGAACATTCTATCAATCTTCTGTACAGTGATTGTTGGGTTTAAAATGCCTACTAATCAATGAAACTCTGGCCATACATCATTAATTCTCTTAAACAATGGCTCTATTTCAATAAACCATCAGCATTAAGTAGCAGTAACAATAAAATGAAATATAAAGTTTCCCAGATTTTGTGTTTTTTTCTCCTGCAGTAGTGAA